TGCACTCAAATGTTGTATTTAAAATATTTTAAAATATTTTATAAAAATAATTTATTTAAATTATCATTTAGGAAAAAAATACAAAAAGGGACAGATATGACACTAATGAAAATTTTAAAATCTGGTTTCTACTTAGTATTTTATCTTTCAACAGATGTAAGGCATTTGTTAAGGAGAGATGCAGGATTAGATCCCACACGCAAGTTAAAACATGCACAGAGACACACATTCACACATGCATGTGTACGCGCACAGACACACACACACACACACACACTTTTTCAGCTACAGGACCTTCAGTTGAAGCAACTGTGTCCTAATCTTCTCTAATGAAGCAAGAAACTATTAATTCTGATTTTGGTTTTGGAGTAATTACGCCACCCACAAAATAAGGTAACAGAGGGAATCACTTATCTTTTGTGAAATGGTGAAATCACCTTGTATTTATCACAACGTACTAGGCACATTTGAAGATATTTTTAAATGGACAGCTTCTGAAACAGAATCTAAAAGGATATAATCCAGCGTACAGCAGTTTCTGTAAGTTTCAACAGGATTTTTTATTATTAATATTATTATGTGTACATGCATTAAGGATTATTCAGTGTTTCAAGATAAGAAGTTCACTGCCCAGGAGGCTGTAAAGCTGCAAGTATAAACATGAGGCTGCTTCAGATTTCAAGATTCTATACCTTGGCTTGCTCAACTAAATTCTCCTGTCACATCCAGCATCCATTACGTTTTAACTACACTTTTTTATTGCAGATGGTTGGTGATAAATAGAGTACAGTGCATAATCCAGTATCTCTGTTTCTCAAAACATTTTAAAAGCATAGTCTTATCATCATTGATTCATCCTTCCTTAAATGAAGACAAACAGAAATGCTGAGAAAGGCCTCTGCAGTATATAACCCAGAAAAAAATACAGCCTCCTTAAAAAAAAAAAAAATCTGGTGAGAACTAAAACATTTTCACTGAAACGGCTGAACCAGGTTTTTTGTTTTGCTTTGTTTGTTTGTATAATATGTGTTTTCTTTAAAGAGTTGGTGAGATTGGGGGGAGGGGTATTTTTTCTTCCATGACTCATTCAGCATGAATCTCTCCTACAAGAAAGTGTTCCAGAAATAAAAAATGACACTCAAAATAGTAGTATGTATCTAGAAGAATTACTACACTCTACAACATTGATGGGAAAAAAAGCGCTGAAACTGGAAAGAACCAACATGCAAACAGAAATGTGATGGCATTTTCAGGCAAAATTTGTTTTTCTCCCTGAAGATTTCTATTATTTTAATCCCATAAAATATTCATTTCCACCCCAGTATATTAGGTTACCTTTATAAAGCGAACGGAATCATTGAGCACAGAAGTTACTTAAATCAGTAATAGGTCCACTGGGGGGTAGCAGGGTAGGGGGATCTCATGTCACTGCAGGAGGTACCAACTTCTCCTTTTTAGTTCGGTTTTGTGTGTGCGCTAAACGTTCATTTTCCTTCTTTTCTTGGGTTGTGCCTCTTCGGTAAGGGGGAGGGTTTGGGGGTTATTTGGGAGCGTGGAGGCGGGGGGGGGCGGCTTTCGTCTCCCTTCCCCTACGGGTTTGCTGAGTTCCTAGGAACAGCGCTCGCTGTCCGGTAACTGCAATATCACTGCAGTGCTTCCTCTGCTTGACGACGGTCCGCCTCGCACGCTGCTGCACCGGCCCGCTGCCAGGGCAGAGAAGCCAGCTCCGCTGACCGGCGTCGGGCCGAGCCGCCGGACGCGCACGACGCCCGTGCAGTGACTGAGCTAAGGCAGCAGGCGCAGGCTGGACCTTTCACCGCCGAGTTGGCGCGGTGCAGCTACAACCGTCAGCCCCAGCAGAGCTTTTGCATTAACCAGGACATCGAGCGAGGGAACTGGCGCAGGGCCCTGTTAGCACTTTGCAACATCAGCTCTGTGGCACTGACAGCCACCCACCGCCTCTCTGCTCTCATCTGCCCGGCGTGTTTGCAATTGGCTTTTACCTTATGCTAAATTACTAACGTGATGATAAATGTAAGCAAAGGTTGCGTGTGTGTGTGTGTGTGTGTGTGTGTGTGCACGCGCGTGTATGCACACCTTCAATTAACAGTGTGAAACATTTACCCACTAAAATATTTAACAAATATTTATCACTTTCATTGGCCTTTGGCTTACTCTATCTATAAACACATTACATCATTTTGTAGGAGTTTTATTATTATTATTATTCCACATTTCTGTTCAACTCAAAATGACGAAAGTACAACCGATAGAATAAGTAACACACGTATCCAGGGTGACCAAACAAAGTCTAAACCACAGCATGCTAAGTGAAACTTAATAATTTTTGAAACTACTCTATCAAAATTCCAGCGGAATGTAAAAGAAAGGCTTATGTAATTGGGAGGGTCATCATTAGTTTAATTATCTGAAGGTTCAGCTTACACTGTAGCAGAATACACATTGTCTCAACCCATAATCTTCTTGGAGGCTACAGGTTTAAAGAGAGCAACAAACACTGTAAGCAGTTTCTGAATTTAGTAACTTCTGTCTCTGGTGGTAAAGAAACTCACTGTACCCATTAGACACTTGCTACACAAAAACAATATTTTTCAGAGAGCTTGTCATGGTAATTTTTTCAGTATTTATTTGGACTTTATCGCTGCATGTTTTTTACCACTATGTTACCTTACATCAGCACCAATTAGACAAGAAGGCCAACAAAAACAAATGAGGCACATGCAAAGATACATGATTTTTTATGCTTTTTTTTTCCTTCCCTTCCTATTCATTAGGTGGACTTGTAGACCAATAATATGCATAAAGAAAGGACTATCACAGAATTTTTCATTAATATTGAAAGACAATTACAAATTTTTCCATAAAACAGAAAAATAAACTATTCCGATATTGTCTACGTGACATACATACACACTAATTTCAAGACAAAGTGGGTGTGTGATGTACGCTGTCTAGCTTTCATTTGGATTTGTGCAATACAAATCTGCTTTGTGCAGTACCATTACAGTGGGGACAGGTGAGATTATAGGCATTCTGGCTTCTCACAGATTGAGCAGGAAAATACTGAGAACAGCCACAGATAAGCATTATCCCCGCTGGATCACGCTTTGTGACGCAGAAGAGAGAAAAGGGGACATTCATTTAAGACTTAAAATTCAGGGAAGTTTCAGATTGATTAAAGCACACCAAAAATCTGTCTAATAGAAACTTTTAGCTCTCCTCTCAAAAGCGAAATTTCCTACGAAGCAGAGTGAAGGCACAATCCACTTTGTTCCAATTAAAAACTTGTGTTGCATAAGAAAAGAGATAAGCATGTGAAACACTCAGTGGTTTGTATTTTTGAAAGAAGTAACACTGAAATAGTTTGATCACCATTATGCGTTTCTGAAAGTTATATCAAAATGTACAACATGTAAAATTAAATACCATACATGTAAAATTAAGTACCATACAGCTCACGTATTCCTAATACTCTAATCCTTACAACTTCAGGAAACCACAGCTTCTAATCCTAGTCACACAGGCAATTGTTGCAAAGCTGACACCCCCCCATCCCTCCCCCCACCTATCTAGCACTTGCGCTGATATTAAAGGAAGCAAAAACCCAAAAGAAGCCAGAAATTAACCTAACGTCACTTCTAATGCTGAAGAGACTTAACCTAAACCACTAAATCACTCAAAACTAAAAATTAAACCGCTTAGCCATTCCTTAGGAGTCCTCCGCTCTTACCCCTTGGAAAATGTAGTAAAGCCAAATCATTAAAAATTAATCTTTGAAAGGGTCTCTAAACAGTTCTGAGAACTACTCGGCCAATTTATATGTGTTCTATTAGGACAGTTTACAGTAAGGTCAATTTGCTTTCAGATTTGATGGGTTTCACTGTTAAAGACTCTTGCCCTCCTCAATATTTTCAGTTTTAAAGAAAATAAGAAATAGTACCAAACCTTATAGAGTATATAACTTGTATGACAGGACTCTGTCAGAATATTAAAGAAATACCTCTCTTAAAGATTAAAGTGAACTCCTGATTCAATATTTAATGAAACTGAGAAAGCTGCTGAATGTCCCAGAAATCCTCCAACTCTCTGCTATGTGCTCTTTCTAAATATTATGAAGCTATAAATTAACACAGAGGCTAGATGAGATTTCGAGCAGCCAAGAATAGCACCTCAACCATCGCAACACAAAAATTCTGGGGGTTTTGTGTTTGTTTGTTTCAATTTTGTTTCCCCCCCCCCCTATTTAGCAGCACTAACTTGCAGCATTATATTGCAATCGTATATCCCAGCCCAGTACTGCAGCACTACATTGCTTAAACATAGCTACGCTTCAACATGTTTTTAGGGTACTGCAGCCAGATCAGCTGTAAGCTTAAGGAAGATTTCCATCAAGCATCAAAACTAAACTCTGCACAAATATTTAACAGCTCTGAGACCTCTAAAGGCTTCAAATAATATACATTTCGTGGTATGCTAGGAGCCAACCCCATACCAGTGATCTGCATAATGCAGAGTACTCGGCAAACACACCACTGCAAATAAAGCGTTGTTTCTCCTTCATATCTTTGAATTCTTCAGAATAAAAGCTGAATGACATATTAAGACTTACTGTGGCTGCTAACCATACACAGTGAAGTAGTAGCTCTTACATTTCATTAAGTTTCTCTAAAACTTCCCATGCCTCACAACAATTTCTCAGCCCCTCACAGCAGATGAAACACAAGTTCATTTAAAAGAAGCCTAGGATAAGTTCATCACATTTATCTCATTTTCCAAGCTGCTAAAACTAAGCAGTAACCTATTCAAGCCGAAAATTTTGCAGACAATGGAATCCTTTCAAACTGCACAACCAATGTGATTTTCTAGTTGTCAGTTTACGGTGTGTGCCAGCATGAAATGTTCTTGAATCTGAAATTCATAATAATCACTTCTATTGATAATGTGAGCAGAAATAGAATTACATCACAGTTAACACTTACCAAAATACATTATGTTTCTCATTAATCATGCAGTCAGAATCCCACCGCTGTGTATTCAGCATTAGCTCCCGCACAGGGCTGACATGTAAAACAGAGCTCTTTCATTCTACATTATGTGGAAATTTCCCAGCATAAGACCCGTGAGTGAGCAGTGTGCCTCCTCAGGATGAGCGCTTTGCAGGCAGTCTTATCCCTGATACAATCCCTGTCTGATTTAGCATTTACTCTGGCTGCATGCTGCACTGCCCATTCTTACTGTAATCTGACTCCTCCTTCTGATGTCCTTGCTGTGCCTGTGACATCAGTACTAAGAGTACTACAAACAGATCTTTTCTTTAACGGGCTCGCAACGAGGTGCTCTGATATCCTGGCTAACCTAACCCCGGCTTGGAAAAAAAAAAGTCCCTTTAAAATTGTATGCTTTTTTTTTTTTTTTTTAGCAGCAGCAGCAAATGCGTTCAGTGACATAACGTGCTTGGTTACATAATAGGTGGAAAAGACAAAGCATATATTATTAACGTATTTTTCTCATGAAGGGCAGGCTCCAGGAGGAGACCAGAGTGCCCTGATTCCCCGACTTCAGTGGAAGCTAAAGATGCTTGGCACTTTGCAAGATCACATCCCCAGATACTTTTTTTTTTTTTAAATCAATAGTTCCACTCCAGTAAGTGATTTTAATCCAAATGCTGGATGAAGCCCAGCCTGTCCCTGTTTTAAAAAAGCAACTGATAAATACGTACTTCAATTCCAATTGAGCTCAACGGATTTTTAAAACTATGATTTCTTCCCATGAATAACAAAGCATGAGGAACAGGAGCTAGATGACAGAGAAGATTTGTAATGGAGTTTACAACCTTTCGCCCTCTGGGTCTCCGGTTCCTTTCCAGCCTAGGTTGATAGTAATAAGTCATTAGCCGCTGATGGCTATTTTATTGTTCCATGACAAATGGGGTGGTCTTAAGTTCTTAGTGAATAGGTCCCTACGCAGTCCCTGCTGCTGTAAGAACTAGTATCCTTGCTGGCAGCTTCAGAGCAAGGAAGACCAAAGATGCCAGTACGAAAAAAATTCTCTCTACTATCTAAACACGGTGCCTCAGGATAGATCTGATGCACACTGGCATGGTAGCGCGGGGAAGACTACATGGCCTGTATTTATGTGTGTGTGTTCTATCTGTTCTATGAATCAGTAGAGGACATTGGTTTCCTGCTGTCAGTCTGGCATATATCACTGATAATATACTTAAACTAAATAAAGTAAAAAATAATGGACAGTATGCTGAAGTGTTTATTTCATTATAATAGGATCTAATGGGATAAATGCTTTCATTCCACAGGAAAGAGGATGACAGGTATAATTCATTTAAAGCTCCACTTCTTATTCATAAAAGCTCCACACAGTAATACCAGCACAGTAACTACAATTTCATGAGGTCCAATCACTTAGGGCCGAATTATTCCACCAGCACAGCAGCCGACAAATGCTCCAATTGCAGCAGAATAGTTAAAGAGTTCTGGTGTACATCACAGATACACATCTGCCAGCAGGATCACTCCACAGCACTGCTTTCACTAGGTTTCATGCTACCTGTATGAAAGTCCCCGGGATTAAACACTGAGGGGCAGGGAGGAGGAAGAACAGGAAAGTGAAACTGGAGCATGCATTTAAGCAATGTCCCTTAGTGGCAGTTTTACAGTTTTCTGTTTCTGATGCCTAGCTTTTCTCAGCACCCTTTCTTATTCCAAGTGTCCATAAGAAGAAACATGCCTAAATGGAGAGAGATCTGCTCCACAGATAATCTCCAAAATAAACTTTGCTTCGCAACTACAAAGCACACTGGGCACGAGTGCACAAAGAGGCCACAGCGCATGAGGTAGAAAGTTCAAGACTTCTTGTATGGTTCAAACTGACAAATGGCAACTTAAATTGAGTCAATCCTAAATAACAATGAAGAAATACACTGAACAAATACTATCTAGGACCCCCTGGAAAACACTACATAGAAACCAGGGCCTCTGTTTTTACTAGAGGGGTTAGGGCCACAGGTAACAGAGGGTGTCCAGGATACCTTCCCTTCCTCTATCTCATCATTATAAAGCTGATTCACTTCTACTGTACAAGAAAGGTCATTTCACTATAGGATAAAATACCACACTCAAAGTTTGGTTTAAATTATCTCAGCTGAGGCACTCTAATGTTGTCTAAGCAGTCGGCATAGAAGGAGCCTTCTGTGGTACAAACATTCCCTCCCCTCCCTTCACTGAGGATAAAAGCTCAGAGAATCAATTCACTGCGAAATCCTTCAACTCCCTTGTTGGCTCTGAAGCGCTTTTACAGAGCGCTGCATTGTGTCCTTCTGGACTTCTGCACCCAGAGAAGTAGGAATGGCATTTGCCTGTTATGTTGTGTTTACCTTACCGCAGAAAGGCTGGGGCTCGTTCTGCCTGGAGTCTGACCCTATGAGATGTCAGATAGCTCCAGCCTCGATGTTCCCCCAAGCTGATATACCTTCCTGACCAATGCTGTCAGTTGGCCAGCTGAGGACCTGGTCAGACAAAACTCATGTCTGTGTGGACATATCATTAGTGGTCAGGCAGCAACCACACTGCCTTTAAACTTCCCTTCATGTGCTGGTTGCTCTGATACAGTATCTGCATCAATTCAGTGATGCCTAACAGTAGGACAGATTCTCAGGAAGCGTAGAGCAGAAAAGCACGACATAGAGCAATTTGCAGCTCGTTCTGACCCACTTCTTAAATATACTTTACAGTACTCAGCTCAGAATGCTACCTCCAATTTGGTTTTATACTGCAAGATGTGCAACAAGACCGTCCCCCCATCTTGCCTTACTGTATTTTACTTGTATTATCACAATAAACACATAATCAAAATAGCCAAATAGAAACTAAAACAAAATTTGTTTAATGACTTTTTTTTGCATTTCAATTATGGAAAAAACGCAAATGAGGAGAGAAAGTCTGCCAGTCTTTCCTGGAAAGCTTTCACAGCCAAATCCACATACTTCAGGTAAAACTCTGCTTTCACTTACACACATAAATACCAATAAAGTGCAAGAAGTTTAAGACTTCCAAGCAAGGACCACAGAATAAGTTCCACTCCCAGAGTTGGATATTGTCACAGTCAGTGAAAACAAGGATTAGCTTAGCGATCGCAACCCAGAAGGGCTGGCGTTCTAACTCCAGCATTGAGGACTCTGCTAAACGCAACTATGCAGAACCACAGTGAGGAGCAGCAAACACCTGTGTGCACCTGGAGATACGAGTAGATGCAGTCTGGGCATGCAAAAATCACGCAGACTGAATGAGCAAATCAGTCCATGATGTCAACCTATGGTGCAAACTCGCAATCATCAACAAGCCAGCACAGGCTAACTGGCATTTAGCCTTGCTACAAACATAAATCAACTGCAAATTATCATGTTTTCACGAATAGGTCAGCTATAAAAACAAAAACTAAAAAATCCTGCTATTCAAGAATGGTGTATATGTACTACAAGAGAAAATACAACCTCCTAAAATAGCTCCCCCACCCTTATTTCTTCAGGGCTGCTTCCCATCCCTGAAATCATAACTTCTTCCCTAACAGGCTTTTTCCTAATAGCATCTCTGCCATTGACTTCCTCTTCTGGCCTTCCTCACCCTGACAACTCCACTTTTGTAAGGGGTTCTCCACAAAGGGCAGATGATCAGAAACGCAAACTACCCACCAGATGTTATTTTATGTCATTTATTTTTATACCATGCATTTTATTTATTCCCTGGAATAAATAAAAAGAAAGGTGAGAGTATACACTTCCCAGAAGCATAATGCATACCCTACATTTCTCCTGAGATGGTAAGCCTACAAGTTACCCTACATACATGACTTGATCTACAGCCAGGAGGCAATTTTTCTGAATTATCCCACTATCTATGCATTCCACTGATTTCTGTCTTTCTACTGATTTACACAGTGCCCCCACTGTAAGTATTAAAACCAATTTCAGGCATGTCTATTGCAAAGACCAATAAATATTTAATACTAATGCACCCAGTTAATTCACTAGGGTTCCTGGAAAACTCTTCCAACCTTGAATTCTCCCATGGGGCAACCAATATTAAATTTATATCCAGATTCTTACCAGTTGGCTTTCATGAATTTCAATAGGAGAGGCTGACCGCAAGCATTTTCTTGCAAATGCAGAAGCATATCCAGGGAGTGTTTGATAGCAGAAATACAATACTAGGAAACAAAAGTCACTAGTGACACAACATTATCAGTTTGTGCATCTCATATAGTAAGTTAAAAGATCTCGTATACCTACGAGGCTTCCAGATTTGCCTAAAATAAATTTTATCTACTGTACACAGACAGCTATTAAGAATAAAAACGTGTCATGTAACATTTTTTTCCTGAAAATAGAATAGAAGAAGCAAACCAAATCACATTGGATCTCTCAATTTACAAAACGAAAAAAAAAAACAAACTAAAAGAGTCTGAACGCAAGTCAGGACTACAACTTCTGTAAAATTTCGGAATTTATGTATGGCAGATATTTCATTCTTATTAATACTACAATAACATCAGTGCAGAAATAATAACAACAACAACAACAAACAAGCCATAGTTTAGAAGGGCTCCAAAAGTAACTGGAAGTGTTCCCAAGAGCATAATTTTGTGCCTCAAGTCAAATATACTAAGTGCATTGGCTAGAAATTTGGTTTGTTTTTATTTTGAAGCCAGCTGGAGTACTTTAAGACATACTATAAAATAACACAGATTTTGTGAGTCGTTACTAATCTCTTGAGGTTACAGTAAAGGGCAAGAAGGGAAGGAATGAGCTACATTTGTATATTTTAACTAGCCACAGATGCTTATCTTTGGTTTTGGACTTTTTCCACTGGATAAAACTACCAAATGCGTTTTTTACCCTTGACTCAAAAGTGTCAGTTCTGGAAATCTGCAATATTTGTCACCATGAATACCATTTAACTGCGGCAGTACCCAAAGGAACTCTTTACCGCCACATGTGAATACGACTGGAGGAACTTAATTAATCTTCCTGTCACTTCCATGATGCTTTTCATTAGTTTAGCTGCTATCTGATCAACTGCTCCATTCTCTATTGGAAATGGCTAACCAGAACCTCTTATAAAAGCATTTTCCAGAGGTAAACAAAGACTCACCTTTGATTTTGAGAGCCTTTACAAATTTTACCCATGTGGACTTTATCAGTTCAATAACAGTAC